AAATATTTATAAAATTAAATTTTAAAGATTATAAATATAATCATCTAGTTTCCAAATTTTAAAAATTTAAAATATTAGTAAATTAAAAATAATTAATGGATAATTTTACCACATACACAAGAATGGTATTAGAAATCTCTAATCAAATTAAGTGATTAGTTCAATCTAAATAAAAAAATCTGACTAAAATTAAAAAAAAAATTCTTAACTATATTTTTCTTAATCGTAGTCTTCTAGTTTTTGGATTTTTTTGTCTTAACTCGGCTAAAAAATTTTCTCTAATCTCAATCAATATTCTTTCTTCAAATCCAACTAATTGATCAATTTGATTATAGATATCTAATACTATTCTAGTATATGTAAAAAAATTATCTATTAATTATTTTTAATTTACTAATTTTTTTAATTTTTAAACTTTGAAAACAAAATTGTTACATATTTAATTTTTGAAAATTAATCATGTAAACATTTTATTCTCACTTTAATAAAAAATTAATGGATTCCATTAGTTTAGGGCTAAAATTTTCAAATCTTTCAAAAACTAAAAACTTCATAGTATAAAATAAGGGATTAAAAACTTTAAACTTAATAAGGTAAGGGATAAAACTTTCTTTAGCCAGGTAAAATGGGTTAAGTTTTGGGTCATGAATCAAATGGGCTATGGACATGGTTGTGGGCCTGACTTGGGCATTTGAAATATCATTCTCGTTTCTTTTTCTTTTTTATCCTTTTTTTTTCTTCTTTTTCTTTTCTTCTTTTTTTTTTTTTTATTAGATCTCTCCCCATTCTCCACTTCTTTAGTTCTTTGCCTTAATGCCTCCTTCCCATGAATAAGCTCCTGTCACAAAAATTCAATCTATTAAGACACAAAAAATAATTATTGAATTTTTATAGAAAACTTAAAAATAAATATTAAATGTCATAACTCTATTTTTTATTTAATTTATTTGGGTTTTTCTTTTAGTTTATTTACATTTTTCATTAAAAAACATAAAAATTGAAATTAATTAAGAAAATCATAAAAAAAATAAAATTTTCTCTTTTCTTTAACTAATATATCTTTATTTTGTTTTATGTACTACATGCAAATATAAAAATTCATGAAGATATTTAAAGAAATAAAATTCAAAAAAGGGACTCAAATAGAAGAAATGACAAAATTTTATGGATTGGACTCTAAAAGTTAGAGGAAAAATCAAGGCCCAACCCATCTTAGTAACCCATAACTGCTAAACCCAAGCTCAGCCCAAAACCATCAATAAAATCCTAGTTTCCTTTTTTCTTCCAAGTAAGGATGACAATGAGGCCCTGCGAGACTAAGTCCCTCACCATCCCTATCTTTGTTGTTATACGCAAAATTGAGTCATATGGAAATTAGGATATGTGAAAATATCTTAGGAAAACTCCTTCCAAGAATAGGATAAATCTAATTCTATTAAAATTAAAATACCCAAACATCAATTAAATAAAGTTGTATTCCTAGAATAACTTTATATAAACATCCTATAAATACCTCAAGAATCAACCTTTGGAAGTAGATTATTTTCTCCACTTTCTCTTTATTGTAAACTCTCTCTATCAATAAAGATCTCAGTTCCATACTTTCTATTTTTTAGTGTTAACATTTGGCGCCTACCATAGGGTCGAGTTCTTGTTCCCCCACGAATACTACATGGCGAATTTGGGAAACTCATCAACATCTCCCAACGACATTCACTCCCAATGACATTCAAAATTCTGTAAATAACAGAGGAATGAGCACCTCTTCTTCATCAAGAACAAATTCCAACAATGCTACTGGCAGATCTAAACTAGAAGCTCTATCAATAGCATCACAAGTGCGAACGCTTGCACAGGATATGGAGGAAACAAGGCAAGGCTTGAGGGCAATTGAAAAGGCCATAGTGTCTTTCATGAACACAGTAAATCCTCTGACACAAAATCTAAGGAGACAAGAGAGAATGTAGAGTATTTCATCCAAAAACACAAGACAATATCTTAGAGGAGCAGAGGATTCAGTGCGTGGAAATAGTAATTATGATGATGAAAGTTACGCACCTTCAAGACCAACTGAATTGACTTTTAATACAAGTTTGCAACCATCATCGGCCTTGACTAAATATAATTTCTAAAATAAAAGCGTGATACCCGGCTCACAAGGAAGCAGAGGAATAGTTGTGCAACAAATATACAGGGCACCCATTACACTAGCACAATTAGTAGAGAAAGATGAATAGTTTCATAATAATGATATCTATAGAGAAATAGAGACATTACATCAATATATATCGAAGATTGAAAAAGGAAGACAGAGACAGCCAGAGTTGATGTACACAACTTCAGTGGAAAAAGCTTTTGCAGAAGAAATCATCAAAGAGCTTGTACCAATAAATTTTAAAACTCCACAATTAGCAGAGTATGATGGGACACAGGATCCAGTTGAGCATGTACAGGGATTTAGGATGGTAATGATGGTTCATGGAGCTTCTGATGCTTTGCTATGCAAACAATTTCCTACGACCTCCAGGAAAGCAGCATAGGCTTGGTTTGCAACACTGCTTGAAAGATCTATTTGGACCTTTGATCAATTCACAAACATGTTCATAAATCATTTTACAGCTAGCAGGATTCCCTGAAAAACCAATTATCATCTATTAACAATCAAACAAAAAACAAACAAATCATTAAGAGCCTACATAGCAAGATTCCATAATGAAGCTGTGCAAGTGGAAAAGCTAGACCAAAGCGTAGCAATGCATGCTTTGATGGATGGCCTAAAAGATTCAAGCTTTTATAGGTCTTTAAATAAACGAGAACCAACTAGTTTTAATGATTTATTAAGAAGAGCAAAAAGGTATATCAAAGCAGAAGAAAGAGTAGCAGTCAAACTAGCGCAATCAAAAAATATTGAAACATCATAAGAAAATCAAAAACAAAAAATAGAAAATGAAGAGATCGAAGGGATGTATCACAAATACGACTAGCAAACTACCATAGAAAAGCAAAAAAAAATATTGTAATCACAGAGTAAAACCTAAAAACCTGTGCAAAGGAGATTAAGTATTATGAAAGGTAGAGGTTTAAAAAAAAAAAAAAAGAAGAAGAAGAAAGAAAAAAAGAAAAAGGACAAAGGTTTTTTAAAAAAAAAAGAAAGGAAAAAGAAAAAAGGGGGAAAACCGTGCCTGAACTGAGAAGGTCCATACCTCTATAAAGAAAATTTGGGAGATGAAGCTTTCAAGCCTAATCATCCCAATGGAACCTTAGTTCCAAAGACCTAAAATGTTGCGCACCTTAAAAGCAAAGATTCATTTTGCATTGCTAAAAACCACTTCTAAGTGGAACATAACTTTAAGAATAAGATCTTGGTTGTACACATCTTTGCTCACTTCTACGCAACATATAGCTCCAATATCATTTTTAAATGATTCAAAGCTTTAAAAACCAGACATGGTGAAAAGAATAAGAACGCGCAAAACTGTAGAGCTATTCTTAAAGCTCTAAAGTCCAGATAAGACAAAAACATGCTTAAGCAAACTAAAAGCTGTGGGCAAGTTAGGGTGTATATAAATACCCAAGCAAAAGCTACACAATCAAGGCTACGAATGTTAATGCAATTCTCAAATATAAGAGAGACTTTGCAACATAAACCCGTAGTAATCAATTAGGGTGTAAAGTTGTGTCCTGACCTATTTTTTATATAAGAAAATGGAGGACATGGCATATACTAACCAATCATTAAATTATGGATTCTTATTGACGAATGAGGATACCTTCACCATAAGAAACTATGATGGCCTATAAGATTGATAAAAAGCTGCACATAGTTTCAAAAACTATAATTTGGTTATACTTAGCTTTAGAATATCGGTAGGCCAATAAACCAACTAAATACACAGGTTCTAGTATAGTTTCAATGAAAGATCACGATGCCAGGCATGACCAAAACTCAAGTTAGAAATAAAGCATCTGTTCAGCATGCTCTCAAAACACAAAACCAATGCACTGCAACATAAAAATGTGTATATATATATAAGATCCAAATATAACAAAACAAAAATAAAACATCCATAATACATAGAAAAACATTAAAGCAACACAACCCAAATGTTGTTTCCAAAAATAAATGTTCTTATATGCAGGTTCAACAAAAGGCTAGAATGGCCAAATCTGTCATCCCTTGAAAACAATCGCAGGAATCTCCGTCGGACAAGGAGGGATCACGAAATTTCTCCCTACATGACACAAAGCACCCTTCACCACAAATCGATCGTCATTACTGCTAGGAAAAAGAAAAATATCAAAAATATTTCGGCTCAGAAGAAGGAATGCTCATCTCAAAAGAGGTAGAACTTACCAAAGCTTCGACAACAGCAAAAGGAGCATTGACTGGAGCTCTGACTACAGTAGAAGTTACTAAAGCCCAGACTACAATGGAAGGAGCTCCAACAAAGATCTACCTCCATCTCAGTGAAATCTTGGGTAACTAAAGCAATGATGACAAATTCATAAGGATCCCCCTCCATCAAATAGAAAAATGGTGAAGTAGAAGAAAGAAAGCAGGAACAACGAAAGAAAAGAAGGAAGCTACATCAAAGAGGAAAGAGAGGAAACCAGGAAAGAGGCAACTGGAGAAACCAAATACAAATAAAATAAAAAAGAAAAGAAAACAAAGAAAGATGGAAAGGGAGAAGAAATGGCTAGATTGAAGAACAGAAAGCAAGAAAAAAAAGGTGAAAAGATTAGATAAATTAATAAAGAAAAAGAAGTTGCCAAAAGAAAGAAGGCGAGAAGATAAAAAAATTTTAAGGAAAGGGTTGGAAAGCTCAAGAGTGTCTTATCAAAATCCCACGTTTCAAATTCAACTTTTTTAGCAATAAATGAAGAAATCTCAAGAAATCCCACAAGTACAAAGGTTGGTACAAATCACAAGTAAAGGTTGGAAATGTGTAAAAGCCTACAAAGGGAAATGACCACACCAACAAAGAAATTTTGAAGAAAATACAAATAAAGAAATAAGGATACTTGCGCAGCATATGGAAGATTGATAGAAAGCATACCAAAAGCTGTGAAAATAACAAAAAACCTATGCTTTACTGCTTTTTCCTTAAGCTAGTTTTTTATCTCATAGGGTTTTTTACTAGCTAAGGTTTTTAACGACGTAATCACGGTCACAAAATCTTTGCCATAATAAGATGGAACCTCTTAAAGGCAAAGATATGAAAAAGCAATGTAAATTTGGAGTCAAACTACTCCACAAGTTTTCGTTACCCTCAAACTTCTTCATTGGGGGGCAAATGTTATACCCAAAATTGAGCCTTATGGAAATTAGGACATGTGGAAATATCTTAGAAAGACTCCTACCAAAAATAGGATAAACCTAATTCTATTAAAATTAAAATACCCAACCACCAATCAAATAAAATTGTATTTCTAGGATAACTTTATGTAACATCTTATAAATACCTCAAGGATCAACCTAAGGAAGTAAATTGTTTTTTCCACTTTCTCTTCAATGTAAACTCTCTCTATCAATAAAGATCTCGGCTCCATACTCTCTATTTTTTAGTGTTAACACCCGTGAATGGCGAAGATAGGGATCCCGACAAGGATTTTTTATAAGGGACAGATTTTGTCCCCCATCCTTGTTCTCCTTGGAGATCCCCATTTCTTGCTAATTAATATTAAAATATAAATTTTTTATATATAATTAATTAATATTCAATTACAATAAATAAAATTCTAAAAATTTAAGTACAATTAACTAACATTCTTTAAATATAAAATCAAATATAAATAAAGATCCATTCAACATAAATAATTAAACTAACAAACTTGTTACAAACATAAATAAAGATTAATCCAACATAAATAGCCAACATAAATAGCCAATCCAACATACATGTTTCGAACATAAGCGAAAATCAATCCAACATAAATACAATAATTAAACCAACATCCAAATTCCAACATGAAGGGAGGCAACCAACTCAAAACACCTTAGCTCTCAAAATCCTTATTTGCTCATCAAAAAACCTACAATACAATTAATAAATACTTCATGTTAACATATTTATAGAAAAACTATTTATGTTATTAGTATAAAAAAAGTCATGTATATTTTACCTTTGAATTATTTTCTTCATCACAATCCACATCCTCATTAAGAGTAAAGAAACTTAAATCATCCAAAGAACATATTTCAAATATAAAAATTTAGATTAAAAATTAACTACTTAATTAAAGAACAAAAGAAATATACCATAAAAAAATAAAAAAAATATAAACTTAATACCAGCAGATGGCTTCGAGTTTGATAGCAACAGTTCAGATGGATTTGGCTTCGATAGTAGTCCAGCAGTAGCTCCAGCAGTATGTAGTCCAACTCCGGCAACAGCTCCAACAGATCAGTGGTAGATCAATAGCAGCAATGGAGAAATGAGTGAAAATGAGGGCAAAAGGGTGACAAGGGCAAAACTCAAAAGCGCAACAATAAAGGTCTAAGGGCCTGTTTGGTGTGGCTTGTGAGAGCTTTTGCTTTTTGAGTACTGTTATGAGTGATAAATTTAAATTTTTATCGGAGGGAAAAATAAAGCTTTAGCTTTTAAAAAGGTGAAAAAGTGAGTGAAAAGTAAGTAAAAAGAGAGTTTATGAAAAGTTTGAATTTGAAACTTTTGAACTTTTACTGTTTAAGAGCTTTTTAAGGTTAAAAAAATATTTAAAAGTGTAAAATTTTAAGAGGGAAATTTAAATTCATGAGACATGAATAGTACCCAGAAGCTGAAGCTCCTAGGAGCCACACCAAACAGGCCCTAAGATTCTTGAAGATGAAGAGTGCCAATGGCAGAAGCGGATGGAAAGGTGAAAGTGATGAGAAATGAGTAAGGTTACTTAGGGCTAAATGGTTAATAATGGGATATGTTGGGTTGAATTGGGTCAAATTTGATTAAATTTAATTTTTATTGAATTAGGTTTGGGTTTGAAAATTAAATTAAATTTAAAATAAAATTATTTTATATTTTTTAAAATTTATTGTAGGAATGGGAGTCCTGCAAGACTCCACGGATAAAAAAAAATTTCTCATGAAATTTCACAGATTGAAAATGCCCCCATCTCCACCCCAAGGAGTAATATTCCTCCCCACGGCAGGGTTGCCCACAGGCCCACGCAAGGATTGGAGCAAATTGCCACCTCTACTTCCAGGGATGAGCGGACACCAGGGGGGAGATAACAAAATCAAAAGGGACAAAAATAAGAAAAAGCTCATGATACTTCTCCCTTTTGGACCCCCAATTTTACATGACCATCACCTCCTTTTTGATTCCACCTCCAACAACAGTAGATCTTTCGCCACCTCATAGCAGGCTTCCTCTCTACACCTCCGACCTCCATCTACCCTACCATTCATTGCCACCAATCACCAGCTTCTTCATCCACATCACTCCACAGCCACAGAGTATCGTCTTCATCTCACAGCAACCAAGTAGCCCTTGGAATCCACCGGCCTCTTTTTCAATCATCTGTTGCTCCATTTTCTGTTGGTATAGATCTGAAACAGAGGAGTTTCTGGGGCTGCAGTGAGGAGAAAGATTACGGACTACTTCGTGGGTGGGGTACCCCGGATCAGACTTCAATCAATCACCCAAAAATTCCTCCATTTTTTTTATTTGTAATCGTTGCTATTGCTCTTGAATAGAAATGATGTGGATTGCTTGTGAATACAGTGAATATTTTATACATTTTATTTTGGTGTGAGTTCTATTTGCGTTGTTAAAATTGCTCTCTTCTTCGGTTATAGTTTTGTTTTTTTGTTTTTTGTCTTTTTCTTTTCTTTTTTTTTTTTAATTTAGCCAAATGAACCCTAGATTTTCAAGTTTAATCTGTCCTTACGCACTTCGAGGATCGGGATATGTTTATGGGGAGGCTAACCGACCCATTTAATTTAGAGGTTGTGGATTGAAATAGAGAGGAATGCTAGCTGCACTCGCCTTTCTCCAGCACTCTCCAACACTCCTTCATCTAAAATAGCCACGTGAACTTTTCTAGTTGGAAACTTTGAATTGCGAGCTGAAGTTTGTTACGTGGACATTTTACATGAGAGAGTGTTGGAGAGTGCTGGAGAAAGGCGAGTGCAGCTAGCATTCCTCTTGAAATAGATTCTAAAATGAATCATGACTCATTTGCTTTTTGGGTTAGCAAGACAAATCAAATAAAAATATTAAAAAACAAAAAAATATATAAATCCTTAATAATTGATTTAAAAAATGATTAATTAGTTTAATTGATTTTAATTAAAATCAATTGATTATAGTTAATTATTTTTTTAACGTGGGAGTGGGACCTAAGAAGGGAAACATGGCCACTTGTGGACACTCGTGGAATAATTTAATTATTTTAAAGAAAAGGTAATTAAAGTAATTAATTATTTTGATTAATTTTAATTAATTCATGATTAATAATTCAATTAAATTAATTATTTTAGTTAATTAGTCTTAATCTTGTTTAATTTGCTTAATTAAGTCAAATTTTGAAAGTCAAAATTGCCCCTTACTTAATTTTAATTTTCCATAAAACTTTTTAAAATCAAACGATTTAGTCCAAAAAATTTAAATCTTCTCAAGTCAGTCTCCATGTTTCAGATTTAATCAAATCAGATCCTCCACTTTTAATTTTGTTGCAATTGCATGCAAGTTCTTGATTTATTTTAATTCAGTCCAATTATTTTCAAGCTTTGCAATTTCATCTATTTACTTTTTAAAGTCCACTTAATCAACAAAATAATAATAATAAAAGTTGAATAAATTCCCAAATGTTAAAGTATGCAATCGTACTTTTACGTAAAGGATTATGAGGTATGCGTATACCCTTCCTCACTTCTAAAAGTACCCTTGGACCCTGATATTTGCACGGATCATATTTTAGGTGACTTATCTCATCATATAATTTAGACAAGTGATGACTCATTTCCTTTTTTTTTTTCAGTTTTTCGCACTTAATTTTTCCTTATATTTTCATATATATAAATTTTTGGAAATTTTAGGTTGTCATCAACACTAAGTTAAAAATTAGGTTATGATAGTTGCTCCTTCTTTACTTTTACTTTCGATAAAAAGAAGAAGTAAAGATAGAAGAATAACCCAATTTTGCTTTGTGGAGAAGAGATCATGCCTTTTGAAGCAACTTGTCTTGTAAATTTTGAAACATGCAAAAGAAGTATTGAATTAAAATGTTGACAAGCAACTTATGTAGTGAAAATAATGTGTGATGTAATATGAAAATGATATGCTATAAAGACAAGAAGTGAAGTGAAATGAAGATGTAAAATCCTGATGAGGCATCATATGAAAATAAAATATGTCAATAAGGCATGAAGAAGTGAGATGTTATGATCATAAAATGCATGTGAGTAGTGTATGGTTATTATGAGGATGCAAAGTGCTAAAAAGGCTACATGTAATAAATTAATGGGGTCAGATGTAAAAGAAAATGAATGCGCCAAATAAGGCAATAAAAGAGTTCGAATGTGCCAAATAAAGTGACCTGTGCCAGATGAGGCAGCTTGTGCCGAACAAGGCATTTAGAGAGTATACATGATAAGGTGACTTATGAAGGGAATATACCAGATGAGGTAATTCATTCCAAATAAGGCATTAAGAAATAGACCGGATGAGGTGATCTTAAGTGTGCCAGATGTGGCATTGGAAAAAGTACACCAAACGAGGTGACTCATGAAGGGAATACATTGGACAAGGTGACTCATAAGGGGAATACACCAGATGAAGTGACTCATGAAGGAAATACACTAGATGAGGTGATCCTAAATGTGTTGGATAAGGCATTAAAGGAGTACGTTAGACAAGGTGACTCGTGAAGGGAATACATCAGATGAGGTAAGTCATGAAGGGAATACACTAGACGAGGTGATCCTAAGTGTGTCAGACAAGGTATTAAAAGAATAAATTGAACGAGGTAATCCTAAGTATGACAGACGAGGCATTAAAAGAGCACACAAAACAAGGTGACTCATGAAAGGAATACACCAAACAAGATAATCTTAAGTGTGTTGGATGAGGCATTAGAGAAGTACACTAGATAAGGCATTAAAAGAGTACACCAAACAAGTTGACTCATGAAGGAAATACACCGAACGAGGTGATTCTAAGTGTGCTGAATGAGGTATTAAAGAAGAACAGCAGACGAGGTGACTTTTGGGTAAATACCAAATAAGGTGATTCATGCTAGATGAGGCATAGAAAAAGTATAGCAGATGAAGTGACTTGTGGAAGAAATGTTATATTGTTTGAGATGACTTATGATTTTATGATTGATCATTACACAAATGCTAGTGTTTAGCCTCCTTGAGCTATGAAGCAAGCCTCTCGAGGTTTGATCAAGTGTATGACTTCGTGAATCAAAAGATGGAATCTTTCCTTTCCCTTTTTGATGAAGTTTTGAATTTCAAGAAGATGTTAGATTCATTCTTTGCTACTATCAATGTAGTTTCGATGCAATTTTCATTTGAAATAATTTTGTTAAGGATATTTGGAAAAAGAATTTGATTATGAAAACAAAACATTAAAAATTTGAGGATTCAAGATGTTGGAGATTTCTTTGAACAAAAATTTTGAATGAAAGGAGGATTTGTGATTTACAAAACATGAAACGTAATGTGAAATCATTTGACTTTTGCATTGCTTTTTAAAGAATAATTTGAGTGATGCTTCCAATTATTTCAACTAGCATTTGTTTCAAAATACAAGTGAGATGCCCCCAACTTGTGTATGGTTCTAGTTCACTTTATTTCTTACGAGAGATGATTCTTGTCCCCAATATGACTTCTGAGTTTCACTCTTTTCTTTTGAATTATTTCTCCTCCCTCTTCTATCAAAGAGGAATTGATCTCAAATTCATAAGCAAATAAGATGCCTCAAGATAATAGCTCATGAAAGGGGTAGGTCAAGTTTGTGGCAAAGGCACATCTTTGAAGTGATTTTATGGTTGCCACATCTCTCTTTTTTTTTTTTTAAGGGGTTGAATATGGAACAAAAAAGATGCCAAAAAGGACTACAATTGGATGAAGAAAGATACTTCAAAATTTTTTTCAATTTTAATGAAGGAATTGAAGATTAAATAGGATTGGTTTTTCTTTTCATCAAGGAATCATCATTGAAATGTCTCACTTCTTATTCACATTTTTTTTTTAGCTTTGCGGGAATATTGTGTTTAAATTCAAGAGTCGTGTTTAAATTCAAGAGCCATAGATTCTCTAATAAGGACTTTGCTTAGGTTGTAATGTGGTATTGAGGTTAGGCTATTAAAAGAAAGAAATATAAAGGCTCAAAATTTCCAAATTACCCCTTATTTTCACTCTTCACTACCCAAGCTCTTAATGCAAGAATAGTCAAAGAAATAATCATCTTGGCTTTTGAAAGTTGATGATTGCTTTTTCTTTTGGCTCAAAATGGGTGACTAGTGATAATGTCTAGTGTTTAAGGATGGAGAAACAAGCCTTTAAATTTGAAACAAGATTTTCTATCATTTGCTTAGTGATTGTCATCATCAAGATACCTAAAGCTAAAAAACCCTCAAAAAGGACTTTTCATAGGTTGCAATGAGGCTTGAGGTATAGTTATAGAAAAAATGGTCAAGAAGGCTCAAATTTCCCTACTTGCCCTCCCCCCCCAATACATGCCTTCACTAGTAGCATTTTATTATAAACTTGTTTTATTATTTATTTCTCCTTTTGACTTTCTACTTCTTTTCTTGCAACTTACTTTGATCTTCTTAGCTACTTTACATTCTATCTTGCCTTGGTTTCAAACTTTTTATCAACCCTTTTTTTTTATGTATTTTCTTCAAGAAGATTTGCCCCAATTTGGCATGTAACAATTTCCCAGGTTTGGAATAAGTTATGAAAAAAAAAGCTTATTGTATATCTGGTTCAAAGTGGTTAACTAGGGGGTGGATCTTAATGGGTTAGTTTCACGCCCCAGAACCCGAATCCGAGAACGTGGCAGACGCCGTGCACTCGTGAGACGGGTCCCACAAGTGCACAAAACTCGAAACTTATCCAATTCACATCTGACAATCCAATAACTCAAATCAATTATCCCAAAATAATTCTATGTCCAACATGAGAACCTCAAAATCTTCGGATCAAATCTCTTATAAATTAACAATCCACTAAATGAATTTACAATCTCCAATTAAAATCTCGCTTACAAGATCATCATTTATATCTAAAATCCATATTCAATTTACACGATGGCTAGCCTTCTAACTCGTCACTCCCCTCGGTTTCCCCGTCCTCGATATCGCTTCCTGAAATGGTGGACAAGGAAAACTATGAGATAACTCAGTAAGTAAATATGGATAGCTCTTGGTAAAAATTTAAACATGTCAGATAAACCATATAAGCATAACAAAGCTTTCAGTGATAACTCGTTAAAACAAAAATCAGATTCAGTTCAATAGCAAAACGTTCAGTGACAAAACTGTTAATGCAAAAATCCAGTTCGGTTCAATAACAAAGTGTTTCATGACAAACCGTTCATACAGAATAAAACTCATCAGTAGTCTCATCCATAGGTCATGGCCAGCGTTTATAAACCTCCCACTGGCGGGCACAGTAGTTACCAATGTTTAACCCCATTGGCAAGGTTACAGAAGTACCAGTGTTTACAACTTCCACTAGCAGGCGACAGTAATGGTACCAGTGTTTACACTCCCACTGGCAGGCGACAGTAATGGTACCAGTGTTTACATCTCCCACTGGCAGGCGACAGTAATTGCCAATGTTTAACCCCCATTGGCAGGGTTACAGAATGGACCGGTCATATCAGTAAACATGTCGACATGTGCTAGCGTTTATAAACCTCCCACTAGCGGGCACAGTAATCAGTAATCATGACCATATCCGAGACAAAACCATGCAGAATTTACAGAAAACACAAGATTCACAATCAATCTCACATTTCAGAACAAATCGAAAATTTTCCATGTAGGCATGGATTTAACAGAAAACTCAACATTTACCAAACTCTCAGTTCATCAAAACAGTTCAGTCAATTCCAAATAGGCATGCTCTACTCCAGAAAAACGATGAAACTCTCATTTTCATTTCAATCATACTCAATTCCAGAAAAACAATGAAATTCCCATTTTCATTCAAATCATGCTCAATTCCAAAAAACAATGAAATTCCCATTTTCATTCAAATCATGCTCGATTCCAGAAAACAATGAAATTCCCATTTTCATTCCAATCATGCTCAGATACTGATAAAATCAATTTAAAGCTTGCCACCATCTCAAAAACAGTTTAAAACATGTTTTAAAATCAAAGGGCTTTACCATAATTTACTTACCTTACTCGCACAAAATAGAAGGCTAACCCAAGTGCTACGGTGACAGAACGATCAAAACCTAATCACAATATTCCACAATTAATACCGTGGTACCACAAATTCAAAATAAAATCATCATTAGCACTACCCCTAATTACAGTGCTATTTCTATCAATCTCCACATAACCGGACATCTCCAAATTCATTCTTATATCACAAACTAAACATTTAAATCCCCGTTAATCGTTAACCCTCGGTGTGTGAACAGTACCTGTGAACAGTACCATGTGAACAGTACCTCATGAACAGTAACTTCAACTCCCAAAATTGGCAAAACATAGCTAATTCACGGGGTTTTCTCCAAAATCACAACAACCCAATTCAAGCTAATTTCCTACTTAAACCACACCTAAAAACATAGCTTAAAGCTACCAAAATTTCCCCAATCTCACGGGCAGGAGAGCATGGCTTTGGCAAACCACACTTACACACACGGGATTTTCACACAAACATCACAACAGCTAATTCAAGCTAAATTCTACATAATCAAGCTTAAAACACATTTAATTTACTGCCAAATGCTACTGGAATTCATCCCCTATCCCAGCAGATTCGGACAACACAGAGCATCAACTAATGGACAAAACCCAACAATTAAATGGGTAATTTAAGACTTAGAGGAGTGGCCATCATACCAGAATTTACAAGCAAGGAAACCGGAGCTGCAGAGAGAAGAAGCCGGCGGCAGTGCAGGGGGAAGCTCACGGCTCTACCAAAATTGGAAGGAATAAAAGCAATTAAGGTAAACCCAGCCTAAATCAAGTTGAAAAGATGAAGTTTATGGCTGTGGCTTACCCGAAAAGCCGAAGGATCCACACCCAGCAGGACCCGACGGACAGGGGAGGAAGAGACCGAGCAGATCTGGGGAAAATTCTGGGTTTAATGAGAGTTCTAAGCCCCAAAATCAGTTCTTAAACAAGAAAAGAAGAGAAATTCATCAAGATCTCACCAGGTTTTTCAAGGGGAAAGAAAGTCGGTGGCTTGGGGGGCTTCGGTCGGCAGAGGAGAAGAAGAAGAGCAGGTCGCGCGGATAAGGATGAAGAAAAAGAAAGAAAAACTCAGCCATCCTTATCCTAATTTCCTTTCTTTTTAAGTCCCTCAACTTTTAAAAATTTTGCAATTAAGCCCCAAAATAATATTTTTCTTCAAATAAGTCCCCAATTTAATGCTAAAATACTCCAAAATTTTGGGATATTACAGTTAGTGTTTAGGAAAAGGCTTATGAAAGATGGCCTCTTATCCGTGGATTTATTGCCTTAGCTACCCAGGGGATGACAATCACTAGGCTTAAGTTAGCAAGTTTCCTTTTATTATTTAAAATTTTTGTTTTGTGAATGATCTCTTGATGAATAGTGCATATTTAGGATTTCAAAGGTTTTGCAAGTAGACTAGAAAGGAAAGAAAGAATTTTTAGGATGCGATAAGCCTTTCATCATAAGGATCGCTATATTTTTGAATTTTGAGATCAATTTCTCCTTGTAGACATTTCTCACCTTAATCTCTCTCAAGCTTATTTCTTCCTTATATCTCCTTGAAATCACTCTCAATATGACATCATTATTTCAAGCATTGGGGCATCAAAATTGTTTTTAAACTTAAAGGATAGAATGATTTATGAAAGCATTGATTCAAGAGTGAAGAAGAATCAAAACTTGCAAAACATAAAATATTTATTAAATAAAACTGAATAGACTACGAGATCGAAAAAATATTTATTAATTTAAATTGAAATGCTAAAAACATGAAGATTAAAATGGATGACTTGCCTGGCTACCCCTTCACAATTAGATGCCAAAATCAGTGGGAAGACAAATTTATTCAATGATAAAAACAGAGAAGACCTAACATATCTCATTCATTTAGAAAATCTCATCAAAATGGAGAAGATTGAAGCACCAACTTTATCATCACTAATCATATGCAAAACTCAGCAACAAGAGCCTCATGATCCAAAAAATAACTTAATGAAAAGGGAGGGATTGGTGAAAGCAAAAATTAAAGGAGTGATTTGACGAAATCAAAAAACAATGGTTTTATTTGATGAAAATGAGCACTAAAGACCGAGGTAGAAAAAATGAGAGTGAGATGACTTAAGATGAAAATTAAGCCACACAATTTTTAGTAAAATTGAAGATTTTATTTGGTGAACACAAAGATAGTAGAAGATTTAATTTGGTAAAAACTAAAATTTAGAAGATCTACTTGTGGAAAACAAAAGTTGGAGTCTTTTTGATGAAAAAAAAAAAATTGCCATGAAGTTTGTAAAAGGAATATAAAAGGTGAAGACATGAATGCAATAATGCAAATGATATGAGAATGTAGTATCACGAATGATGCACTAAAATCACCCTAACAAGTGTACTAGTCGCTCCAAATAATATAATGATGAGAAGAGTGTCGAACCCACGAGAATTGTGTCTAACTAAGTACCAAAATAATTAATCTAAATTTATTTGAACAATCAAAAAGGAAGAAACTTTAATTAAAAATGAAGAAACTTTAATTAAAAATAATAAAAGAAAATAACAAATAAACCTAACCAAGATAGGAGGTACTAAGGCATTGACTTCACCATAATCAATCAATATAAATTCTGGATTACCAAATTGTTGAGTGTTATTGCATGTGATGGCGGATTTCCCTAAATTAATTAACTAGCTTTCTCAAGTCAAGTTAATCCTTCACTAGTTTGTTAAATTAATCATATCTCTATGTAATTTTAAACCAACTAATAAGTATTAAATTCTATGGAAACCTCTAGCTTAAGAAGGGGGAGCTACTAACTCTCTTCTCTTCCTCCACTACCACATGTGAGCTAATTACCTCTCGGTCTCATAGTCTAGCACACGGTTTATATTATTATTAGTCTAATCTACGCAATTCTTTCTTAAGTTCATGCATAAATCAATAAATCAATTGAAAGATGATCAGGCTTCCAATACATTAAGTTCAATAATATAAACTCCTCACGCGAATAACTTTAATTGAAAGAATAAAATCACAAAATCCATATTAAATTGATTAGGTTACATCGTAACCTTAGTAGAATAAATCAGTTCATAATAAAAATAATAAAATAAAAACAAAACCCAATTTGAGGAATTCGAACTCCTTGATTTTCTATTGTTGAATCTTTTCTCTTAATCTTCAAGAATGCCCAAAAGAGGGCTGCCACCAGCCTCTCCACACTCCTTAATTCTGAATTTGGATGAGTATTTATAAGATTTTAGAAACCCTAATTGAAATAGAAGTAGGACTTGGAACAGAAATAGGAAACTAAATTTTGGATGCTGATTGCGTGGTGCTGACACTTCGGATTACGTGTTGACACAAAATAGGAAACAGAATCTGATTCTGGACATTTAACGCATGGTGTCGACACCCAGATCATGTGTCGATACTACACCCGTGTCGGGTTTCTAGTCTCCTTTTGCAATTTCTTTAATGGTAAAATAGCAGATTTGGTTCCTGACTTCTAGATTCTGCACAAGTTGATCCTCAAGTCTCTGATCTCTTTAATTTACTTCTAAAAAGTAGGATTTCTTCCAATTAAATCCGTTCCTACACAAAGGATGAAACTCATGTAAAATCAAACAAAATCCCATAAAACTCATCCAAATATCAATAATATCAAAGTAAAAATTTCCTATTAATATGTATATAAATTTAGCTCATCAACGAAAAGAACATGATGAACAATCACAAGCTACTATAGTATCTTCTCCAAAATTTACAACCAATATGTCTTTACCTTGATGGTGTCAAATGAAAGAATAAAAACCCGAATTTGCCATGTGCAGGAAGAAGGTTAGTGAAGCAAAATGCCCCCTTATGTCCTAGACACAAGAATCCTAACCTCATAGGTGGGATGTTAAGGTAAACATGTCTTATGACTAGTATCTCTCTAAGTTCATTACATGCTTTCTTAAAAGACGTTAGGCCCTCTCAACCATTTATCTTTTCAAATCCAATGGGAGATATTTCCAAATGCTAAAGCACAAAATGATATTACATTGTCAGCCATTGTGTTAACAAAATGAAAACAACCTAATAGGAATTGACGTTACTCCTTGAGAGAAGAATAATTGCTCTTTCATGCAAGATCTATAAGGATTCTAGACTTGAGGTCGGGTTCACCTCAAACATGGACCTACTGCAAAATGAGAGTGTTTGTAAGGGGCATTCCTAACGGATTGTTTCCCAAAATGTAATCCACCTGTATTGATGAAATGCCTGAATTAGGTCAGGTCCCATTGTGGATTGCAGGAATGATAGTTGTATATTATATCATGTGCAGGTTCCAATTACCTAGCTTCTTGCAAACTCTGTAGGCCTTTTGATGAGGAACAAGAAGAAGCTATTCAGTAGTTATTTAGATTACTTAGAATTCTTAAGTACTTATTTTTATTCAAGTGTAGTTATCATTAGTTTGTTTATTTTTATTAGGATTAGGTCTTTTATCAAGAGTCTTAAGTCCTAGTTAAATTAGAAATTTTAAATTTCAAGTTATAGACTAGTTAGAATAGGAGTTCTAGTAGGAGTCTTAGTAGTTTCAATATAAATATGCATGTAGTTTCTTTCATTATGAAGTTAATAATATTCAGAATTTTCCAGCAATTTTTGCTCTTGATTGTGTGATGCAATCTTGGTTGTGTGATGCAACTAGCCTTAGGTGTGATGCTTAAGGGTTTTATCCTCTTTAGATGTGATGCCTAAAGAAACCTAGGAGTAACTCCTAGTTTTTTCTACCCTTCTCATTGTTTATTTTCTATTTCTTCCTCTTTTCTATCCTAAACCGACCTTATTTTACTGTTTACACATGCTATTCACAGTATATATTGGCCTAAACAGCCTCCAAATCCCCAAGCCCATCATACCCCCTAACCTATCTCACATCACCTTTCAGGAGTAACGATCATCTCCCCACAATGGACTTGTCTCCTGGCTTGACCCAAAGTGCGCCCTTAGACCAGTAGAAGGAATGATAAAGCTGTGGCATGTTCTAGGCTGCTTCCCCCTTGTTTGAAAAGAAGCCCACCCAGAATGTATTTTAAAGGAAAATTAGCTGATGAAGTGTGCAAATTTGCAAATTGATCAACCAAGTTTTTGACCAAAAAAAAGGAAATCACCTACCTCGTAAGGAGACACTTGAGGTTCCTGACTCAGGCAATAATGAAGACACTAACTTATCGGCATTGGAAAGAAATAGGTGAGAACTCTGTGTCAATCATGTTCAACTGCCAAAATTTATCGGTAGAAGTTCTGTTCTTCTAAATAAAAGAAAAGTTCAACTGTCATGACTAGAAACATTCTTTTTTACCACTCTACAATTAATTAGTGCAGTGCATATGAAAAGTGAAAACAACAGGACATTAATTTATTTTCTGACTTTTTGGCCTGATACTCTCTATCCCTTCTATTTTCCCCCTCCCCCTTTTTCTTCTCTTCTTCTTCAGACAGTGGTGGCCCTGGCGGACCACCTGATCCTCGTCTGTTTGCTGCTTCATTGGCTCCAGTCCTTTTCTGCTTTCCTCCCTTTGCCATTAATTCTTCCTTGTGACAGCGACAATAGAAGGAAATTCACTAATTAGAGTTAGCTAATTTCATTAAACAAGCAATACTTTTGAAACTCCAGGGTGGTTTGAGCATGGAGATTCCACACAAACCAGCACCATAGCCAAACACCAACCACATATTCCATATATGCATCCTCACATCATATGCTAACGGTATAGAAAAACCATACTGCCATCCTTAAAGTAGCGCCCACACCACTTCTTTTATAGTCATCAGCCAGAGACTGACTTATAAGAGAAATTGAAAGTAAGTTGAATGACACGCATGTATATGGATATGCTTCTAATGATGATTCATGATATAGATGGATTGTGTTATGCATGATCTTGTATGTAGGTAAGTGTTATGATCTTGTATATTCATATGTGCTTATGCTAACTGTCATGACTTGGACATTCTCATTTACTACTCTACAATTAATTAGTACAGAGCATATTGTAATTGCACCAAACCAGAAGTCCTTCTTCAGTCCGCATCTTCACTTCGGATGTACCTGCAAAGCCCCGAGGTGGGTCCTCGGGGTAGACACTCCGATGCTTAAGTCAGCAATAATCGGGGCTACCTCTAGAGCAGAGATAAAAGAAGCTTAGGGTTGGTTTCAATTACCTTTCTGAGGTGGTCCCTGGGGGTATTTATAGGCCTTTGTGAGGTATCCACGTGGCTTGCTTAGCAGGATAATCGGAGTGTGACGTGTTCCTTAAGAAGATAAATTCGGGACCGGGAAATTAAGAGAAATTCTGGTGTGAGCATGCTCACCGTAACTGTCATGCAGCTGTTTGACTAGGAAGTATTTCACTTCGGTTATTAAGGGATTATAGCAGTACGTCCGAGGTCCTTAACCTCGGACCTATCCTTACACTATTCCCCCCTCAAAGTCATTCACTTGTGAATGATTAGTGTGGAAGATGAGTGTAGACGGGGATAGTGAATATAAAAATGTATGACATGAAGTCGTGTTTTTGGTTGCAATCAAGGTAAAAATGCATGACATAGAGTCATGTGTTTTGGGTCGTAGCCAAGGAAAAAATGCATGACACAGAGTCATGTGTTATAGCCGTAGCTGAAGTAAAATTGCATGACATGGAGTCATGTGTTATGGCCGTAGCCGAAGTAAAATTGATGACTCAATCACTGTGGCCAGAGCCGAAGTAATATAGGTGACGTGTGGTCACTATGGCTAGAGCCGAAGTAAAATAGGTGACGCATAGTCACTATGGCAAGAGCCCAAGAAAAATAGGTCCGAGGTTAAGGACCTCGGACGTACTGCTATAATCCCTTAATAACCGAAGTGAAATACTTCCTAGTCAAACAGCTGCATGACAGTTACGGTGAGCATGCCCACACCAGAATTTCTCTTAATTTCCCGGTCACAAATTTATCTCCTTAAGGAACACGTCACACTCCGATTATCCTGCTAAGCAAGCCACGTGGATACCTCACAAAGGCCTATAAATACCCCCAGGGACCACCTCAGAAAGGTAATTGAAACCAACCCTAAGTTTCTTTTATCTCTGCTCTAGAGGTAGCCTCGATTATTGCTGACTTAAGCATCGGAGTGTCTACCCCGAGGACCCACCTCGGGGCTTTGCAGGTACATCCGAAGTGAAGATGCAGACTGAAGAAGGACTTCTGGTTTGGTGCAATTACACATATGAAAGGTGAAAACAACATGACATTAATTTATTTCAGTCTTTTTGGCCCGATACTCTCTATCCCTTCTACTTGTCTCCTCCTCCTTTTTCTTCTCTTCTTTTTCAGACAGTGGCGGCCCTAGCAGACGTCCTGGTCCTCGTCTGTTTTCTGCTTCATTGGCTCCAGTCCTTCTCTGCTTTCCTCCCTTTGCCATTAATTCTTCCTTGTGACAGAGACAATAGAAGGAAATTCACTAATTAGAGTTAGCTAATTTCATTCAACAAGAAATACTTAAGCAAATCCAAGCCTTCCTTTGCTGATTACAGAAAATTAAGAAAGATTTCATACTAAGTAGAAAAATTGAAGAAATAACAGGGAAAATGATGAAAAAACAACAAATTAAGCACGTGTATATTCAAATAATGATGATGAAAAGATTGATAGCTAACACAACTGAATCTCCACTATATTTTTAAGCCTAATTCATGCTTCGGACACAACAACTAATCATGTCCTAATTCATATATGTTTAATTGCAGGTTAAGTATTCTTTTTAATTAAGCATATTTCTTGCACTAGCTTCAATCCAGAATTATATTTAACCAAGCAAATATCATTTTAAATTCAATTACAGCTACCAAAACCATAACCTATACTTACCCAAGCCCAATACCATTTCTGGTAGAATCATTTTCAGTAACTTATAAAGTTTGTTATTTAAAATACGTTAAATTCCCATTTTGGTCCCTTACTTTGGTAAAAAACTCCTTTTTAGTCCTTTTACTTAGAAAAACCTCTTTTTGATTTCTAAAGTTCAAAATCTTACTCTTTTTTAGGGTCCGTTTGATGTAACTTCTCAAGTACTTCAGTTTTTTGACACTATTTATATTTCATAAGTTTAAATTTTTCTCATAAAAACTTATATTTTTAAATTTTTTTTAACCTTAAAAAGACCCTAAACAGTAAAAAATCAAAAGTTTTAAATTCAAGTTTTTCATAAACTTCCTTTTT